CGTGGGGGGCCCCGGGGGGAAGGGACTGGAGACTGGGGGTGGGGGGGGGGAAGAGAGGCTGCTCCTGTCTTGCTGCTGAGATGAATAATGAGATGTGTTTGACTGATGTTCTGCTTCCCTGGCCTGAGAGGTGGGATGGAGGGATGAGCTGAACCTACAAAAAAAGTAGTTGGAAAAGGGGCTGAGGGCCGCTGTCAGCGTGGAGAGGTGTCACGGCGGGGGATGGAGCAGGGAGCTGAGGGGGAGCAGACCCCTCCCCAGCAGCGTGACGCAGCACCCCCTGTAAGGGCCCGTCCCTCCAGGCTGGGGGGGGGGCAGAAATGGGGTGATTCCACAAAGCCATGAGTGTTTAAAAACTTGGTACCCAGGGCCGAGCTGGGACCCCAGCCCGTGGTGCTGCTCTGGGGGTGCCTCTTCACAGCAGCGCTCACAGCTCTTCCTCAGAAACAGATCTCAGCGTCGCACCCACCGGAACAGAAACGGGCTTTGTCCCCAGAGAGGGGACAGCCCGAGGGCAGGACGGGGTGAGCAGAGGAGCAAAGGGGGGGCAAGAGCCTTCCTGGAGCTGCTCCATGGCTGCTGGATGACGACAGGGCACAGAGAGATCTCTCTGAGAAGAGATTTGGAGAAATCAGTGGCTTCTTGAGTGAGACTGGAAGCAGAGAGCAGAGGTTTGGGTAACGCTCTGCCCCCCGAGGGGTGTCGGGGTGGTTTCTGGGGGAGCTGGAAGACATGACCCGGCCTCACTCACTGGTGTGTTGGGAAACAGCGTTTCCAGCCCGGCCTGTGAGACCCGAGGAGGCTGAAGGGGGAAGTGAGAGCGAGAAGCGAAAGAGAAGCGTCTGTCCCGTTCCCCACTTCTCCCTGGGTGTTTGTGCAGCTGCGGCCGCAGCCCCCCCAGCCTCGCTCTCCTGAACAGCAGAGCTCCTCCCGAACAGCAAAGCTTCATTTCTCCTGTACCAGGGCTCGATGGAGACAAGTGCAGAGAGTGATTTGTGTAACACAAGGCTTTTATTTTCCTACTGAGGGCACGGAGCAGCAGAGCTCGTTCCCTCTCTGGGAGTGCCCCGGAGCAGGAATCCCCCATTTACGTTCTTCTAAAAGCCTCTGGTTTAGGGTGGTTGTTCTTCAAACACACTGGTGCTGGGCTTGAGAGCGTGTTTGAGTGTGGCATTCAGCTTCCTCACCCTGTGGTGCTTGTGCTGGGGGGCAGAGACCCCGAGCTGTGCAGGGGGGTCCAGCTGACCCCTCCGCGGTGGGAACAGAAGGGTCGGGTCCCATCCCGTGTCCCCTCTCCCACCCCCCAATGGCTGCAGAGCCCCCCAACTCCTGTGTTGTCCTTGTGTGGGACATGCCATGGGGAGCAGGATCTGGCCATGCCCTCCTATCCCTGCCAGGAGCTGGGGTGACACCACGCCACCACGGGAGGAGGTGTGTGGGTGTTTGACGTCCTGTCTATGTGCCTGTGGAGAAATCCTCGGGAAAAGTGAGACCTTAACTGGACTGGAGGAGACATCCAGTGTATGTGGAAATAAAACTGTGTCCCAAACCAAGGAGGAAAAAGGAATCATGTGGCTTTCCCTGCCCCCCAGCCCCTTCCCGCTCCCCTCGCCAAGGCAGGGCACAGGGACCCCTGTGTCCGTCGCCAGGCTGAGAGCCCAGGGAACGGGATCTTGACTTCAGCTTCCTCAGTTCCAGCAGGAATAACGTCAGCAGATGCCTGAAGGATGTGCTGCTCGCAGGCCCCTTCCGGGAAACTGCTGCTCACCTCTGGCTCGGCTCTGCCGGCCATTGGAGCCCCGGCCGGTGTCCCCTTGGGGGCCGGTGTCCCCTTGGGACCTGGCTGTGGATTCGGGGCAGGGTGGGCGCTGGGTGGCGAGGGACGGGCACGTGCCGGATCCAGGGACAAGAGCGGGGAAGCGGGAACGGCTCCGGCCCTGGCGAAGGCGGGGTGTCCGTGCGGGGAGCGCCGTGTTCTCCCTGGCAGCGCCGCTCCCCGGGGATGCTCCATGCGGGAGCACCGAGCCTGTCCCGGGGGTGGGGGGCGGCCTCCGGCGGGTCCCCCCGGGAGGAGGAGGAGGAGGAGGCGGATGAACACCGGAGTTGCCCGGCCGAGGGGCCGGTCAGCCCGGGTTTCCCCCCGCGACAGGGGGTCCCGCGGCGGAGGGTCCCGGCCGGCGAGGGGCTGCCCCGGGGCCGGGCGTTGCGCGCCGGCTGCTCCCTCCTCTTCCTCTTCGTCTTCCTCCCCATCCTTCCTCCCACCCCCCCTCCTCCTCCTCCCGCCGCCACCCTCCCCCGCTCCTCGCTTTGTTTCGCTGCCTCCGCGCTCCCCCTCCCCCTTCTCGCCCTCATCTTCCTCTTCCTCCTCCTCCTCCCCCCGCATCCTCCTCCTCTCCCTCTCCCGCGGGGAGAGCCGTGGGGACAATGACCTGGCAGAGGGGGGTTTCCCCCCTTGGAGAGTGGTCATTTAGCCCAGGGTTGCCCCCCCCCGCGCCGTGCAGCTCCTCCCGGGACCGCGCCGTAACCTGGTTTAGAGTTTATTCCTGCTTTACCTCCCCCCCAGGATTTCTCTTTGTTGTAGCTGCAGAAATAATTATATTTGGAAGAACGTTCTTCACCGCGGGGGGAAATGGTGGCCTCCTCGCTTTCCTCTGGGGGTGGCTCTCCAAGCCCAGCCTCGCCGGCCACCCCATGGGGGTCCTGGGCTGTGGCTGGGCCCGGGGGGGTCGGACACCACTGCTCCGGGCTCTGCATCCCCCCGGGACCCTGCCCCGTCCTCGCAGGGGTGGGCAGGGGGCTGTCAGGCCCCTGGGCACGTGTGAGCCAAGCGTGAGCGTTTTCTCAAGGTGTTGGTTTAATCCTCACAAAACAAAGCAAAGCACATAACCTGCCCTCCTGCCCCCCCCATCTCTCCCGCTGTGTGTTTCGCCCCGGTTTGTGTGTCTGATGCTCTCCCTTCCCTGTTTCCCAGCCTCAGTTCCCCAGGGATGGATGGTGGAGCAGTGTCCCTGAGCTGTGGTGGTGCCTGCCCCGCTTTCCTCGGTGCAGCAGCTCCTCCGTGCTTCGCTGTCCCACATTCCTGGGCTGTTTATGGCCGCAATTCCTTGGATTGCTGGCCGGCTGCTCTCCAGAAAGGGCTGGTGGAGCTGGTGCAGGCTCCCTCTGCCCGGTGAGGGACGCTGGCTCCTCAGAAGGGCCTCGTCCCTCCCTGTGGCCGTTCCCACACTGGTCACACCGCTTTGGTGGGAAAGTGGGGTTTTCTGCTCATTTGTCTTTTGACTTTTGCTGCTGGAGCTGCGGCCCCCGGGAGTTTGCTGTGGTCCCACCTGTACCCGCTGGTGACCCCTGAAGAAATGCTGCGGGACCCTGCCGTGCTTGTCGCTGGGGCAGAGCGGCTGCTGGAAGGCGCTGCTCAAAATGCAGGGGAGATGAGGCGGTGGCTGTGGCAAGGAGAGGACGGGGCAGGCAGGGGAGGTGACGCCAGGGCCCGGACGGGGCAGGGGAGTTGGGAGCAGCGAGGGGCTCGTGGGCCACCAGAGCAGCTGGACCCTAAGCTGCCTCCTGAGCCCCGGGGATGCTCCCGCTCCCGCGGCCGAGCGTGCCACAGGCACCGGCACTGAGCCGAGGGGAGCCTCTGCCCTGCCCCTCACTGGGGCTCGTGGGCCAGGTGGTTTGGCCACTTTCTAGATGCTCCCAACGAGGAGGGTTTGGGCTCTGGGTCCTCCCCGTGCCCTTCACTGCCACTTCTCGCTCCCGCAAGGAGCAGAGCGGCACGTTTGGCTTTCTCGGCTGGTCCCCAAACTGCAGGGGCTCCTGTCCCCGGGAGTCGCTGCCGGGGAGCTCTGGGGCTCGTGGGGAGCCAGACCTCGGCCTTGGGGTTCAGTAGCCCGGCCAGAAAGGCTGAGAGCAGACACAGAGCCGAGCTTCCCCTCACCAGAGGGGGATCATGAAGCTGAGATCCCTGGGGACCCACATCCTGGGGCATGTGGTGCCAGAGACCCACTCTGGGGACGGCGATAAGGAAAGGGGTGATGGCTGGAACGAGCCCCTCCTGGAGCGGTGTCCCCGGTGTCTGTGTGGTGGCAGGGGCTCCGTCAGGGCTAACGGCCGTCCCTTTCCCTCCCCAGCCATGACAGCGTAGGCAGGCGGCGAGAGATGGATCGCTTCACCGAGTGCGGGACGCAGACGGAGGCGGTGGTGGTGCTGTCCCTGGCGCAGGCGGCAGTTCTGGGCTTGGTGTCTGAGAATGAGCTGCTGGGGGCCACCGTCAGCCCCGCCGGCTTCTTCCCGGGGCTGGGAGGGGACCTGCCGGACGCCGCCGCAGGGGAGCCCGGGGAGCTGGAGGGCGAGGGGCAGGCGCCGGGGGACGGGCAGGAGGAGGACGCCTTGGAGGCCGAGTCCTCCCTGGAGAAGCACGCCCGGAGGAGGAAGCGGCCTCCGGTGAGGCTGGTGCCCAAGGTCAAGTGCGAGAAGGCGGAGGCGGAAGATGAGGCGCCGTACGACGTGCCCATCCCCGGGGATGAGGAGGGCGAGCAGCAGCGTGGGCACCCGAGCCCCCCCCCGCAGGACCCCAGCCCGGAGCCCTCGGTGCAGAGCAGCGCCATGACGATGATCGACCTGGGCGCCTTCGGCAGGAAGCCCCGGCGGCTGCGGCACCTGCGCCGGCACCTGCGCCAGCCCCCCGAGGGCAGCCAGCGCCGCCGCGGGGACGCCCACCCGGAGGGAGGCACCACCGGGGCCCCACGCACCCACTGCCCCTTGGAGACGGGCGCCCCGTCCCCCGGGGAGGCGGAGGCCCCCGCGCCGGCCTCCCCCGAGCCTGTGATGCCGGACGCCGCCGCGGGGGAGCCCGGGGAGCTGGAGGGCGAGGGGCAGGCGCCGGGGGACGGGCAGGAGGAGGACGCCTTGGAGGCCGAGTCCTCCCTGGAGAAGCACGCCCGGAGGAGGAAGCGGCCTCCGGTGAGGCTGGTGCCCAAGGTCAAGTGCGAGAAGGCGGAGGCGGAAGATGAGGCGCCGTACGACATGCCCATCCCCGGGGATGAGGAGGGCGAGCAGCAGCGTGGGCACCCGAGCCCCCCCCCGCAGGACCCCAGCCCGGAGCCCTCGGTGCAGAGCAGCGCCATGACGATGATCGACCTGGGCGCCTTCGGCAGGAAGCCCCGGCGGCTGCGGCACCTGCGCCGGCACCTGCGCCAGCCCCCCGAGGGCAGCCAGCGCCGCCGCGGGGACGCCCACCCGGAGGGAGGCACCACCGGGGCCCCACGCACCCACTGCCCCTTGGAGACGGGCGCCCCGTCCCCCGGGGAGGCGGAGGCCCCCGCGCCGGCCTCGCTGGACCGGCTGGACATCAACGTGCAGATCGACGACTCCTACCTGGTGGAGGCGGGCGACCGGCAGAAGCGCTGGCAGTGCCGCATGTGCGAGAAGTCCTACACCTCCAAGTACAACCTGGTGACCCACATCCTGGGCCACAACGGCATCAAGCCCCACTCCTGCCCCCACTGCAACAAGCTCTTCAAGCAGCCCAGCCACCTGCAGACCCACCTGCTGACCCACCAGGGCACCCGGCCCCACAAGTGCGAGGTCTGCAGCAAAGCCTTCACCCAGACCAGCCACCTCAAGCGGCACATGCTGCTGCACACCGACATCAAACCCTACAGCTGCCGCTTCTGCGGCCGGGGCTTCGCCTACCCCAGCGAGCTGAAGGCCCACGAGGTGAAGCACGAGAGCGGCCGCTGCCACGTCTGCGTGGAGTGCGGGCTGGACTTCTCCACCCTCACCCAGCTGAAGCGGCACCTCTCCACGCACCAGGGCCCCACGCTCTACCAGTGCCTGGAGTGCAGCAAGTCCTTCCACTACCGCAGCCAGCTGCAGAACCACATGCTGAAGCACCAGAACGTCCGGCCCTTCGTCTGCACCGAGTGCGGGATGGAGTTCAGCCAGATCCACCACCTCAAGCAGCACTCCCTCACGCACAAGGTACGGGTGCCCGGAGGAGGTGTGCCGGCTGTGGGCGGGGGGTGCAGGGGGAGAGGGGTGTCCCGGCGCCCCGGCCAGCCCTGGAGGAGGGGGGTGCGGGTGGGCACAGGCACCTGTGGTGGGCACTTGCTCAGGGTTATTGATGAGCAGCGAAAGGGCATCGTTATGGGGCACGGGGCTGCCCAGCCTCCCTCGTCCCGGAGGTTTCCATCCTCAGGGAGGGGGGTTGGGACCTACTGTGGGTGCTGCAGTGGGGTCATTTGGGGGACTCTGGCCAGGTGCTGCTGCAGCCCCTCCTGGAGGGCCATGAGTGAGGGGGTTGCCCTTTTTCAGGGGTTCTTTCAAGGGGGAGCAATTGGCTGGAGCTGGAGAGTGGGGCTGGGTCTCAGCTGGGCTTATAGAGCCCACCCGGCCCCACTCCCCACAGCCCACCTCCTGCACGCTGCCGGGGGGCTCCAACGTACCCCACGCTGGGTCAGGTGCTGTACGTTGGCCGTTTTCCCCAGCCAGCTCCTTCCCCAGGCACCGCTTTGCAGAGCTGCTCTGGCTCCGGCGGTTTTCCAGGTGCTGCCAATGCATTTCCAGGGCGGGTGAGACGATGGTGTCTGGGGGTGAGCAGGATCCTACCCACTGCGGCACCAGGTGGGGGGGAATTGCCCCCCAGAGTAGCCCGGGGCTGGCCCCAGGCTGTTGGTAGTGCCCGCTCTGTGCTTGCAGAAGGGGCAGGGCTGGGGGAGCAGGAGATGCTCCGGGGAAGGGGCTGATGAGGTCCAACCCGCTGACAGTCCCCAAAGTCCAGCTCAGCAGGAGGACCCCGTCCCACCCCCCTTGGGAGCAGGGGTTCTTGGTCTGCACGGTGGCCCCAAGCTCCTGTGGGGTCTGTTTGGAGACCCCCGGCAGCGCTGGGCCCCCTCTGCCCCCCACCCACGGCTCTGCCCCCCTTCGCAGGGCGTGAAGGAGTTCAAGTGCGAGGTGTGCGGGCGGGAGTTCACGCTGCAGGCCAACATGAAGCGGCACATGCTGATCCACACCAGCGTCCGGCCCTACCAGTGCCACATCTGCTTCAAGACCTTTGTGCAGAAGCAGACGCTCAAGACCCACATGATTGTGCACTCACCGGTGAAGCCATTCAAATGCA